ATGTATGTAATGTATGTATGTATGTATGTACGTACGTATGTATCTATGTATCTATGTATCTATGTATCTATGTATCTATGTATGTACGTATGTATGTATGTATGTATCTCTGTATGTATCCATTTATGTATCTATGTATGTATCTATGTATGTATCTATGTATGTATCTATGTATGTATCTATGTATGTATCTATGTATGTAATGTATGTATGTAATGTATGTATGTAATGTATGTATGTATGTATGTAATGTATGTATGTAATGTATGTAATGTATGTAATGTATGTATGTATGTACGTACGTACGTATGTATGTACGTACGTACGTATGTATGTATGTATGTAATGTATGTATGTAATGTATGTATGTATGTATGTACGTACGTACGTACGGACGTATGTATGTATATGTATGTATCTATGTATGTATCTATGTATGTATGTATGTATCTATGTATGTATCTATGTATGTATCTATGTATGTTTGTAATGTATGTATGTAATGTATGTCTGTGTGTAATGTATGTATGTATGTATGTATGTATGTATGTATGTATGTATGTATGTATGTATGTATGTATGTATGTATGTATGTATGTATGTATCCATATAAGATATGTACGTGTTTTCGTTATATACATACATACATACATACATACAAACATACATATACATACAGAGGGGTATCATACCCCCCCATCCCATGGGGGGGTGGGAACACGGGACACGGAACCATATATCTTAATTTTGGCTGGTCGCCGTAGTCGGTGCAGTGTGCAACTATATAAGTTCTGCAACTAAGTTTTCCGCCGAAATCGCAATTGGATGTAGAAGGAACAAAAGATACATGCAATGAATTGGTGCTAGTGGGGTATGGGAAGCTGTTGGCAAGCCAAGGGCAACGCCAGGTCTGATGATTTCATAATATGATTTCATATGATTTCTGTAATCTTTTCTTGGAAAGGCCCTGTGCTCGATTTTGGACTGCAGGGTGAATTTGCTCACGGCGAAATGCATGGGCACGGCATCATGACGGAGGCAGATGGTACCAAGAAGGAGCTGCAACCATCCTGGCACTGCGCATACAGAGGTTACCTACTTCCTTCATCTTCCTACATGGAAGTTCTTCATGCCGATTCATACCAATTCTGACTTCTTGTGTCACACTGGGACTTCAAAAGAATCAAAATCGGGCTCAGTACTCGTACCGTGACCGTTTTGATTTTCACCTTGTAACATTGTATTGTATCTAGATGCATCTAGATGCCATATTCTGCCATATTTTGCCCAAATCTGTGTTATGGCATATTTTGGCCCAAGATTTGGAAGGTGTGAGGCACGACCGCGTAGGCCACGACCACGTGGGCCACGTAGGCCACGGCCATGGCGGCCACTGGTGGCCTCGCGATTTTAGTCGATGAGAAACGCGTCAACGAGTTGCTACAACAGAAGAGTGGCATCAAGGCCTTGCTGAGGTGCCACAGCAAGTCATGTGCAAGTCATGTGACATGCAATGACTCAAATGACTCAAATGGCTCAAGTGATTTTCTTTATCTGCAATATTCTGCAATGATTCTGCATTCTGCGAAGATGAAGACATATTGCAAGATGAACTGAATGCCGAACGAGTGACTAGCTATGAACTCTCCGGAATTTCATCCAACATGGCCCAGCCCTGAACCATGCTGACCATGCTGAAAAATATGTGGTGCTGACGAGGTCGGCCTTCAACACCATTCTGTTCGTTTGCTTCCTACTGCTCTTTACCTCGCTGGCACTCAGTGAGCCGCGCAACAAAATGAGAGCTTTTGAAGGTTTCCTGCGGAAACGTTTCGATGAAGCTTCACCAGTTCGATTGGAGGAGGTTCAGTCCGTGGATGGCTTCTGGAGATATTTCAACGAACCTTGGGAACACCATGCATTGATCAAAATATTTGTTGGCATTTGAATGACAGTGGTCTGACGAAAATTTGTGCCCTGCTCCAGTGTTGTCTGGGCCTGTGGGCAGTTTCCGTTTTTCACTAGCACTGTGAACACATTCGCTAGAGTTCGGTCAGTCGAACACTGACAGTTATCAGCTGGTATTGCAAGTCACAGAGATGAATTGACTTGCATTGCAATTGATTGCCTGAGGAATCATTCAAGCCAGCAATTTATGGTGAAGACACCGCAAGATACTTCTTTCCAGGAGCTGTGGTGCCAACTTGGCTTCAGGCGGCACTGGACCGGTAATCCAAATTTCCAGAGTCAGCCACTTCCCCTGATCTAAATTACCTAAATGATCTTAAAAAACGATATGTATATGACTCTCTCCGACCCCAAAAAACCGCAACCTGGGAGGTGCTTGGCCCAAACTACATGTACGGCATGGGCAGGATGCGCATTCTCAACATTCTGCCGGATTCGGATTGTGCCTTGCTTGCATCAGATCGCCCGTGGTCTTCTGACATCTTCTGACCAGAACTGCAGCAGGTAAAATATTGCCACCTGGCAGCAGAACTGTTTGCATTGAGTGGCCATTCCACCCAAAATGAGTGCAAAGGTAATTATATGCGAGTTAGAAATGACACCGCGCAAGACGCAAGACAGGCTCAATCTCAACGCAGCAGAGGAGTGAAGACTAATTAGTGAGGACTTGAAGTTTTTGAATAGTTTGAGTGCGAGAGAATTGGCACCTCTAAGGGCTGAGGCAACAAACAGTCCAAACAAAAACCGTAGTACTCAGTCGGGCCACTGGCCACGAATCATCACGAGCCTGAACCCAAATGAGATCCGTCACGGCTCACACGTTGCAACAATGATCACGCAGTAGGATGCAGCAAAATTGCACGATTGTGGAGAAGAATGTTAGCAGCTTGCACTAGGCTTGCACTACTATAATTAGTCAAAGTAGAAACAAGAACATGCTAAAACTGTTCCAAACCCTGCTCTCGGAAAATGCAAGTCTTGCATGACGGTCCCTCAAATTCGTTTTATTTCGTTTTGTCCTTGTGCTTTGTACCGACATGGGTCTCTCTAGGGCTCTCTCATGCTCTCTCTATTTCTCTCCTTTATCTGCTGTTGAAAGTAAATGAAAAAAACGCGGCCTGCTTACCATTCCAACAAGAAACGCACGACCTGATTTCACTGACCCTGTGTGTGTAACGTCTGAACAGACGTAAAACTTCGCCGTTTCAGCATATTATATTATATTACATTACATTATATTATATTATATTCTATTATATCATATTATTATTTTATAAAATATTATATTGTATTTTGTTATATTATATTATATTATTTTATATTATGTAGAGATGTAGCGCCTAGTACAGTCATGTCTGTTTGTGCTATGGCATGCATGTTGTATGTGTGTATATGCCGTAGCCCCTTTTCTTTTAGTTTCATTGTGAAACCAGATTGAACGACTTCGAGCCCAATAGAGAAAAGTGATCAGCACGCTGTAGCTGGTGCTTACCCACTGCAACATTATTTTTGCATGGTAGCGGAGTTCTTGGGCTCTGACTCTGGGGAATCCGACTTTTGGGTGAGCCATCTGGATCAAGGACAGGCAAGTGCTGACTCAGCACAGCCTAGTGCCTTAGACCAGACTTGGATCAGGTTGGTGCAGGGGATTCTCAACCTGAGGCATTTGCAAAGAGTATTTGCCAACGTTGGGCCGTACCTGAGGAACTATCCAAGGTCATTGTTGGATAGGACATCGAGAACATTCCCCAATCAGCAATGAGTGGGCCAGGAAGTCCAAGTGGAAGCCCAAGTGGGGCAGCAGGGGCAGGAGCAGAACAAGTCTTTGCGCAGTTGCTGCTGCAGTTGCAGCAAGGGCAAGCGCAGATTGCCAAAGAGACAAGAGAAGGTCTACAGAAGCTGGCAGAAGGACTCCAGAAATCTTCAACTCGACCAGGGATTGTTGATGTGAAAGGGGTTGGAAAGCTTGATGCCCTCAAAGGTAGTCATGAAGAAGTTCAGAAGCAATGGAAACCTTGGAGTTATAAGTTTGAGACGTGGTTTTGCAGCCAATGGCCTACAGGTCAACAAGCTTTGGACTATGCCAGGAGAAAGGGTGACGACCCTGTCACCGATGTGGATCTCTTGAACCACACCCTGCAGGACATCGACGCCATTGATGCGCACCTCCATGTAGCCCTGGTTTCCTTGACTCAGGGAATGGCATATGATGTCGCCTACAATCCCCGTAAAAAGTGCGGGCTTGATGCCTGGAGGAGACTGTGTGTCACCTATGAACCTCAAAACAAGCGTACAAATATCAGATTGTTGAGGAGAATCCTTAGCCCTTCAAGGTCAACCATGTCTACTATGAGAAGTAGTTTAGACCGGTTTGAGTCCGACATCGTGGAATATGAGTCGAGGGGGCAAGCCAAACCATCATACGAAACTCTTCGAGCAGTGTTGTTGGCTATGGTGCCAGAAAATCTTGAAGAACATCTTGAACTCAACATCCAGAGGTTTGACACGTACCCCAAAATGCGTAGTGAGGTCATCCCATTCCTGGAGCAAAAGGCGTCTAAGTCAATGGTAGATGATGGTGGAGCAGCACCTATGGATTTGGACTATGTTCAAGGCAAAGGCAAAGGTAAGAGTACCAAGACATGTTACACTTGTGGAAAAGTTGGTCAGGTTTCCAAAGACTGTTGGCATGGCAAGTCAAAGGGTACTTCATCTTCGTCCACTAGCAATTAAGGGCTCAAGCTCAAAAGGCTCATCTACTGGTAAGCGTACCAAGGGTTCAAAGGGATCTTCAAAAGGAAAAGGCAAGTCATCCAAAGGAAAGGGCAAAGGCAAGATGGGGGCAGGTCGATCAATTGCCAAGGGCATTCTCAACGTATGCCGAAGCAAGGACCAAAATGTGCCAGGACAGCGACATCAACGAATGGATGGATGTCGTGCGGATCCCAGCACCGGTTGTCATAGCGTTGGCCTTTGTCATGAAGCGGCCACACCGTGAACAAGTCACGCATGCTGAACAAGTCACGCACGCCATCCACCTGCTGATGACACTGATGCTCCACGTGAGTGACGTAGAGGAGTCTAAGTTGCCCGTGGCAGATTTCGTGGAGAAGGGATCTCGATTCTCGAAGATGGTAGAGCGAAGCGCTCGCAATGACCAGGAGATGGAGACCCTCAGACTTCTTTGCACTTTCGAGTGCGCAATCCGTATCGAGGAGTTCTGGAACACTCTGCGAAGCCAATACTCGGGGACAAACAACATGATCAACAAGACCATCACCGTCAAAGAGCTCAGGGAGAAGATTGCAGGAACTAGTGTCGTGAACCTTGGATCGCTGAACCAGTCTCATCCGCCCTATGGCAGTCACTGTCAGCACTGACTCGTGAGTACTGGGAACAATGGACCTTCGAGAGGATGGCTGCCGATACCCAGTGCACACATGAAGTGATGGAGAAAAGGGTCAGGCTCCTATGTGACATCCCCAAGGAAGAAGCCATTGGGCTGGCATACGCAATGAGGAGGCATAATGCCCGGATGGGGCACAACACGTCCGGCATGATTATCTTGCAGAACGTGCTTGAAGACTGGACCTCCATGCGTTATGACCTTCCACTGGAGAGGACTGCAGCAGTGGTTCATGCACAAGCTGTCCTGATGATATCCAGCATGTTGCACAAATGGAAGACCAAGCTGGCAAACTATTCCGAGCTTCGGGAACTATGCAATCATGTGCGTTTCCAGCTGAGGGACGTGAAGATGGCACTGGACCTCCGTGACGACATCTGGGAGATTGGGGGATACAATGTTGCAAGTGCCGATCAAGGGCTGTATGAGGCAATTGAGATGAGGAACAGGACGTTTTCCTGCATCCACGACTTTGTGACCACAACATCAGCAAGCCAGGTCGCTCAAGGAGCAGCTGAAGTGGTGCACATCCAACGGTGGGATGAGCCTCTGCAGCCGAAGGACGGACGCAACCCTCCTGCACAGGCAGTTCCGCCATCTTGGGACCCGCATCCAATCGTGATGATGAACGCCACGCAGATGGCAGCGGAGGAGGAGAGGCGACGAAGAGAAGCAGCGTCACAGCCACAACCTGAGGCAAAGGCGCGCCCTACCTCCCCCGGAGGCGGCGCATCGGCGTCAACAGGGTCAGCTGGGGCATCTGCAAAGCCGCCACCAAAATCTCGACCGACGCAGCCGCCAACACCGCCTGATTGGGTGATTGTACCAAATGGATACTTGTTCAAGACCTCTACCAACCCAGATCACCGCGGATCGCTGTTCATGACATCAGCATGGATGAATTCCCTGGACCAGTTTCTACTGTCGATCATGCAGGGTCCTGCTGCATCTGCCTCCAACATTACAGGCTGCGCACAATACCCTCGTCGTGTGTCGGCATATGGGTGCATGATCTTTGGAGTGTGCAACCCTGCCGTTGTCACAGACGATGATGCCGCAAAGATCTCGGAAACGGACTGGCTGAAGTGCTACAGCCACCTGGTCAGAACACATGTTCTTGCAAAGACAGGATGCTATCTCTCGACGGCTGGATTGCTCATGATGCTCGGCAAGCACGACAGTGAGGTTGCCAACGCCTCAGGATTGGGAAGGATCAAGAAGAGCATCTCCAACCCGCTTGCGTGCCGTATCATTGATTCACCGCACAACAGCAGGGATTCGGACACACTCGCTGGTGAATTCCGGCGTGGCACCACCATCTTGGTTACAGATCTGATGTACCGAGTAGGTACTCAAACTGGATGCCACATAAAATTTAAATATATCTAAAATTTAAATAGATATTTAAATTTTAATAATATTTAAAATTTAAATATATTTAAATTTTAAATTTAAATATATTTAAATTAAATTTAAATATCGATATTTAAAATTTAAATATTATTCTAAATTATAGTTTAATAAAAGTGAAAATAGAAATTTAAATTAAACATAAACTAAAAGTGTTTCAAATA